ATCTGAGAAAGGGAAGAAAGGAGCCGTCACTGAATCATGGGGAAAGTATGGAATCATCAGAGAAACTGATATGTGGTAAGATCTTGAGCTCTTACATGGAACTACATAACTCTTGGATGTGATTTTGAGTCCTGAAATGTTGATTCAAATCGAGAATTTTGTTGATTACTGCCTGGAATTTATACTTGTGTTTGCTGTTTTTGAAACACAATAGAGATTGATGTTGTTGATTACTCTCATATATGTAGGAATAAACGACCAGAGTTCACAGCATGGTTGCTTGAAGTAAAAGAGGTATTTTTATCTACTCTACAGCCTTTTTTTGCTTCGGAATTCGAATCGATAAGTATAGCAGAATCTTACTCTAAATGTAGTGCTGCTTTTAGCACCACTGGAGGACTGATTTGGTTACATGTCTGCTCTAACAGGTTAACTTGGAAAGCCTGCCACCTTGGGAAGAGAAGAAAATGTTTAAAGAGTATGTACCCTGATTTTTTGTTTGGATTTTATCTTCGTATGATGCTCTTTTGGTTTCTGATAGTATGTTGTTGCAATTGATTCTTCCACAGTTTTATGGAGGATCACAATACTGGTACATTTACCTCGAAAAAGTAAGCTTTCTTTTGTTGTGAATGCATAAATGTTGTTGAATAGTTATGGTCAAAATTAGCTGCCATGCTCAAGTATCTGGATTTTTGCAGATACTATGACATTGATGGCTACTATAGACGTAAGTTGGAAAAGGAGATGAAAAAGGGTATGAAGAAAGCTGGGCATAGTGAACGTACTGTGTTCAATGACGAGGAACAGCGCAGGTAACCAAAGATTCTTGCTTCAGCAGTATCTATAGATATGGTAATACTGTGGACGCATTGCTTAAAAGGTATATCTTGTTGTGCTTGTTTCAGGCTAGAGATGCAGGAAGCACGCGAAAAGCAGAAGGAAGAAGAAGTGTTGGCTCTAAAGCGATCAATGGAAGGCGGAATGGTCAGTTTCTTTTTCGAAATCTCGCTGCTTTCTTTGCCATTAATCTGGTTACTTGCAGAAATCTTACTGTTGTTATCATCCAATGGCAGGCTCAAGCTATGAAAGAGCAAGCTCGACTAAAGGAAGAAATGGTGTACTTGTACAAGATTGGGGACATGGAGGTTTGATACAAAAACCCCAAAAAAATCTCTGTTCGTACTCAATTTCATTTTCCAATTTCGTTACTAATGCAACGGTTTTCGCAATAATCTTAATACACGCAGGGTGCAGCTGCTATTCAGAGGAGGTTGGATCCAGATATTCCCATGTGATGTTGAGTTTTTGGTTAAACTACAACATCTTCTATATCGTGTTCCTACATTGTGTGTTTAAGTATCCAACTTTTGTAAAATTACCATTTCATTTCTTAGAAAAGCGATTATATCGTTTTTGGTTTTTTTGTCTTGCTTGGATAGTCATTTTTACCATGAGGTCAAGTAATGAAAAGTGGTCAAGCTCTCTAGTTTAGAGGGGAAGAAAAATTACACAAGAATTATTTTATAGAATGAACATTAATGTCCCAAATTACAAATTACAATCTTATTGGAAATGCCAAATGACACTGATAAAACATTACAGGCGTACACACTGACAAATTATGACAATCACAATCGTAAATGTATAAGAAAAAGAAAAAAACAAAAGATCACACAAAAGATGGTCGATAACATTACATCCCAAGTAGAACAAGGAATATGGTATAGAGGCATATTACGAATCTATTTATAGATTTCGATGACGGAGAATGGATAAACTGGACATATGATTTCACAACGAGAAAATCCTGAGGCATGTGCTAAAAAATTTTCAAACTCTGAAAGAGATTTCTCCTTACCATCCAATAGTGTTAACATTGTCATGTCCATACCGAAGACAATGTTTGGAACATAAATCTCTTTCATTCTGCGTTTCTACTGGTAGAATCATTTCCACTATGATCACTTTTCCATTTTCTGGAAGATTTTTCCAACAGTTTTTAAAAATTGGTATGCATTCTTCGTCCGTCCAATTATGTAAGATCCACTG